GTCACCAGTGGTAAACTAGAGCACAAGGATGTGCAATTGATGGTAAATCAGAGCACAAGAACAATAGGTGCAGACCTACTGAAGTAGGTCCAGCCTAACAATTCATCACCAATGATAACATGGAGCACATATGTCACCTACAATAAACTAGAGCGAAAGGATGTGTCACCACAGGGAGGAGTCACTATTACTTTTGGCTGTGAAGGCGGAGTACTGTGGGCTCTGTCTGTTAGGAGTGGTGGAGTCGCCCTTGGCCAGCTGGCCTCCTCCACCAAATGAGGAGTAGCTGAAGCCTTTGGACGAGTAGTTCCAGGACCGGTTATTACTGGAGGAATCTGCAATTGAAGAAGGATCAATTTCCTAAACATTTCTTCATTTTTACGAAGCCACACAAAACTATATACACATGTTTCCAGTAAATAAAACTTTATCATTAAATGTATTTCTGATAAATTGTTTTTAACCCTTTCACCCCATATGTAACTTGAGCAGACTCTACCATGCATTAATCTGGATGAGTCCACTATGGTCTACAGTGGTAATAGGATTTACGTCTTTGTGACTGCTATGGTTGAAAAATGTGCTAATCAAGACACCACAAGAAAGAAAGAGCAAGATGGGGAAAAAAGGGGTGAGGTCCAAAGAATGTAATAGGGGGAGCATATCAATTTTGGTTTCCTCAATGTCTCCTAGGCAGAAGCTTAAGACACCGCAGAAAAAAACCTGATTCTTTATGATACTCCATATTATTACTTATTATAACATACAGTCAAACTTCAATGTTTCGATGTTTGCGGGACCATTAGAAAAAGTTCGAAACATGAAGACTTCTACTCACGAATGTTGAATTCGAACATCTTTGAGATCCTGTATATACTGCATAAGACTGAATGCGATTGTTAAGTGATGGAGCACAAGGCAGGAAATTTAATGTGAAATATATGATTATTAAATATTTGATTTAAGGTTTATCAGTCATGAAATTATACACTGTATAGTTTGCATGTTTAGGTGCTAAAACGACCTGGGACATTTCAATGTTCTTGTACAGGCAATTGTTTTACTTTGATTTTTGATGTTCACCTAACGATCAGACCTTAATTTTATTTCAAAACTGCAAAAAATTTGACTCATATAAGTTTGATTCAAGAGAAAAAAACTGAGCTTTGCCATAAATTTAAATATTAAGAAACTAAAATCTTGCAAGTTTGATTTATTTAAGTTTGAAGGCTCAGGAGTTTTCTTCATTGTTTGAACTTGCAGGGGTCATATTCTTTGAGAAAGATTGACAAAAGTGGTTAACATTGTGACTGTAACTGGATATCATGACCTTATTTTTATGTCTTAAGATCATGTCTTCCACAACCAACATAGGTTTCCTCACTCCTGATGACTCATTTGATAAACCTGCGAGGAGTTGGTAAACTTTGAAGCTTTTCGGTTACCCCCAAGTGTGTAACACCCTGGACATTGACCAATCTGCTAATTATGACATCAAGTAACTATGCTTTGCAATGTCATCTACCATTGTGACTTCCTGATCATTGCTCATGAAAATTCTTTCCTCGATCCAAGTGACATAATTAATTCTGTAAAACATGTTTTTTTAGATATTATATATGAACATTGTGGGAGAAAAGTCCCTGAACTTGTGATGGCTAACTGTGATGTTTATTTTATTCTCATTAGTTAATTTTCAAATTGTAAAAGACACTTGATAATCTAACTTGTGTCTTTGTACAATTTAAAAAATTATTAACTCGCGTGAGATAGACATGATAACCAACTATCACTGATTTGGGAACCTCTATGTTTACAATCATGGTTTTCCACTAACTATAAAGATTGATAATCGTAAATAGAAGTTATATCACTACCTGTTTGATTAAGTCCAGGTCCTGGACCACCTACAAGTGATGAACCAAACTGGTCTTTTTCTGAAAAAAAAAATCACAAATCAAAATTATAATGTTTTCTTAGTAATACAGTCTTTCAATTAAGTACAGTCCTTAGGAAGGAACAATGATACCATCTGTTACCTAAACATTCTTGTTTAGAACAGGATTCAATAGCACATGTTATCAATCAGTATCCATGTGAAAGTTGCTGGAAAGACTGAGAAACAGATTATATTGGTCACATGATATCATGTTAGTTGAGACAACTCATGAAGACCTGCGTGACTTTTAACTTCTAAGGGTTGACTCACACGAATGAAGATTTCTGAAAGTCCATTACTTAAGTGACTGCTTTAAACAGGTTTAAAAGCACAGAACCATACACAGCTACCTTTGACCCCTCCATATCTGGAATAGTAGGTCTTGTTAGCCTTCAGGTTGAGCCCATCTGTGTTGCCATTAGAGACCCGTCCAGTAACTCCAGCCCCGCCTAGTGACACATTCTTTTTGATACTCCACACATTCTCCATGTCCAGTTCCTTATCTACAAAACCAACAACACTTAATGGTCATGATTATACAAAAAATTACATAGCAAAGAGTGTAATAAGATAATTTTAGTTTGACAGGAAACTGTTACTGTTGTCGCGGAACTGGACTGTGTTGATCGTCAGCAACCTGCAGGTAGCTCAATTGGTAGGATTGGGTCCTGAGTTCAAACACCGGTCTTGTGGTGCAAGTATTTCATATGATTGAAATCTTTATTGCATAGTTTTAGTACATTTTAATATCAGATGGTGGATTTAAAAAGGGGGTAAAAATGTATGGGTGTTCCTGTGCTGTGGCATGTAGCTAGTGCTCTTATATATAAATTTATATTCCATTAATAAACATTATCAAAAAATGCCTTATTAATATTGAAGCCTTTGTCAGGTATATATGTATCTAAATTCAAGACAGTTGTGTCACTAATGTTGAACTTCACATTTCTATTTCAAAAT